TTAAATTTTATTTCCCCCCTCCAATAATTAGGCTATTGTTTTGAACATTGAGGTATGTTAAATTAAAATGCATCTTTGGTTTTTTTCTAGCACGTCGAAATATTTTTTTTTTTTATTGATGGCATGTGTGTAGGTATATTTTAGGATTTTTAGCGATTTGCAGGAAAAGCCAAAAATTAACTACTTTGGGATTGAACTTTTACTTAAAAACCAACAGCGTTAGTTAAAAATACCAATAAATATGTGGACTAAATAAATAGGGAATTACATACGTTTTTTAAATTTACTTAGTCTATTTATGTGTATGTTTAGCTAACACAGTTGGTTTTTAAGTAAAAAATCAATTCTAAGTTAATTAATATTTAGCTTTTAATGCAAATCGCTAGACATCCTAAAATTTATATGTCACCAATAAAAAAATCTCGACCTACCTAGATATTAAAAACAAAAAAACATAATTATTGGAGGAGGAAAAAATTTAAATTTCGCAGGCCTGTGTTATGTATAAGTAATGCTGCCATGCCCGAATGCCGAAGGATGAGTGGATGTATGTAGTATGTAAGTAGGCATGTTCAGAGATGACTAGCGTCCGGGGTGAGATCTTCATATACCACATACAAACCTCAATGTTCAAATGAAAAAAAAAACAAGTAAGTAAATTATTTTTGAGATGCAGAGTAAAGAGCGTGTCAGACTTGGCAATATTTACAACCTTCAGCCGCGATTCGCTGTCAAATTGAGAAAGATAAATTTTATTTCCATGTGTGAACAGACAGGAAGACCTTGCTGTCACTTTTCGGTAATCAGTTTCAGAAATGAAAGTTGCAAGGTGTGACTGCAACTCAAAACGCGCAGTCGGAAATATATTTCAACTTGGTCGTGCTGCAGAGAACTCTGCAATTCGCCTTTCGGAAATAAGAAAAAAAAACCTCTTTCGAAAGACACTTTACATACAAGGTGTGACTGCTCATGCAACTGCTTTCTGAAATTTCTCAATTTGCCACGTCTGACACCGTCTTAAAAGCTTTCACTAGAATTTGGCCTTTTTCATATGACTCAACTGATTTCTCCTCGCTAACTGATTGATTTCTTCGAATTAGTTCATCATCAATGGAGTTTTTAGCTTTTTGATGTCAGACAAAAAAAAAAACAATTTTGAAACGTGGGTTCCAAAATATTGCAACAATGAAGCAGTTCGATTTTCATCACATTTTAAAATAAAAATACATGAACCACGCGTTTTTCCTAGCGGCGTTCATTATTGTTTATCATTTTTCTTTGATCTCTCCGCTCTATTTACCAAAAATAATCGATAAATCCGGGTTGCAGACAGAGAAGTTATCTTCATAAAACACGATTATTTTATAACTTGGATTTCAGAGGAGAAATTTTCAATTCTTACGGCTCTATGCTGTATTAGTGACAAATTTTTGTCAGTTTTTATTACGGAAAAATATATGAAACAGTTTAAATTTGTCAATAAAAAAATGTTTTGCTATTAATTTCGTATTGGACAGTTCAGCTCGAAAAAGCAAATAATCTGGCCATAAGTATGTCCCTAAACAACAAAATCGAATATAACAATATTGTTAAATTTATTATGGGTAGCAGTCTACCGGATATCCGAATGCGGCTCTTATTTTTTACATGGAATCCGGTTATCCGGTTGTCGGTAAAATCGAAATGATTTATTTATTGCACTGTGTCAATTTTACAAACAAAATAACTAACTCGTTTTCTTTTCATATCCAGCACCGTACAAGAGTTTGGCGATTACTCAGTAAAAACCTATTGAATTTTATTTATTATTTATAACTTAAATGCATTTTATGTAGAAATATTATTCATTTAAAATGGAAATACCACTGATTTCAATTCTCATTTTGCGAAAGAGAGAATGAAAAGTTTATCAAAGCAGGGTAAAGGCGACGATGTGTACATAAATATTCAGTTTTGCGATACTCGTATAGTTTGAAAATCAAATAGTTAGAAGATTGGGTGTAAAAGAGGAAGGGACCCTGCGATCTAGAAGATATTTTGTAGCCCTATAATTTCCAAATAAATGCTAAAGTGTCTAGGTAGACGAATCTTTTATTCAAGTGAAATTTGAATTGTATTTACTTTTTCCTTTAATCGAACCTGGTTCAAGGAAGAAAAGGGCCATTAGGAGGGCTAGTTGAAAACGGTATCGTAGGCAAAATTTTTAGATGGACAATGATCCATCGCTTCTAATGAAATCAAGAGCTTAATAATTCGATGTAGCTAAATGGCTTTTCCACGTTATTAACCCAGATAATACGGTCGAACAATAAATTATTCAGAAAACTTGATACCATTGATAAATTCCTCGAACAGCTTGCTAATTTTATTCGAATTGTGCTTTAAAAGCGATGAATCTTTGATGTAGGAGCCCATATTGGATTGAACACTGTCATTTATACTCGCAATCTGGTCTGAGGATTTCCGCTATCATTTGACGGGGCTCTAAAAATACAGTACTCTCTGTAATTCTCAACCCAATGGCAACGAAATCTGATAACAAATTCTAAATCCAACTTTTTGAATAAGGCACGTGGATGTTAGTATACATGTGACTCTTGCTGTATTAGTTTCGGTAAATCGAAAAGGACACAGAAATATAGTAAAACATACATAAATACTCTTCGTCTATATCCATTCACTGGCCGCCCACAAAGCAAAGCGTGAAACTCATGTTTTTTTTTTAACATATGTACAAACATACACATATTGAATTTTCATTATTCATTAAAGAATTTCATGCGAGAGATCAACCCCTTTCATCCTCCCTCCCGGCGCTACTTTCCAATAGATATATATTTAACGTTAAGAAAGTGTATGTGGCAGTCTCATGCCCAACCAAAGTTCGGCGTCGCTGGCAAATCCACCGCTTGACCTCCCTGCGAATTCGAGTCCTCACAGTTGTTCGAGTACCCTTTGCCTCGTACGTGTATTAGTTTAATTGTTTCAGTAGGTGCTTCCTGATCATGTTTCACCAATGGAGACCTATGTAAGTGTATTATTTTTATAAGCTCAACATTTTGCTCAGATTCTTGGGCCTGATTATGAAGCTGCGAATAATGCTTCTGATTATTTTGCCAGCCCTCCAGTTGGAGTTTGGTTTCTATTGCTGGGTCATGACTATGACTATATTCGGAAGTATGCTGCTTGTAGGATGGCCTTATTGGATATATGTAACCATCCCCGATACCGCCGCTTATCTGTGGGATGTTGTCGTTGTTGTTCCAATTAAAAAGACTGGCTACCGCTTCGTTCACTAGGCATGCCAGGAAGACATGAATTAGTAAATGCTATAAATATTTAAAATAAAATTTATGTAAGTATGTACTACGAGTATTGTGTTTGTATGTATGTCCACAAATTACATAATTATGTACTGATATAAATACTTACAATTTGCTTCATTTCCCGTTCAATAATTTCTGAAAACTGAGCTAAGCCTGGATTGCAAGTTTTTGTTTTATAGTTTTGTAAATCATTTCGATATTGAGTAGGTGGGGGGCTTCTCACTTCACAAACTGTGTTAAGAGAAATGAAGATAACAGCACTACAAAACGAAACTGAAAGTAAGACCCTCGAAAGTACATAATATACATACATACTCGCACTTGTATGTACATATGTATGTACGTATGGCTATGGTCGTCATTTTGGCATTTATTTACCAACTTTGAGGACCAGCACATCAAATATCTTTCGGCACATTTAGCTACGTACCAACATGGAAAGTGAGATGAAATCTTTTGAATATGGACATATGTACATTAGACCTCATCACCCCCCATACAAAAAAAAAATCGGTACCGTGTTTCCAATGGAATTATAAAATCTATTATATTTTAAGACGTCCACCAAAATATTTCGGAAAATATTAAGCTGGACCGATTTGAAAATACCTCCAAAAATGGAGTTTTTTATGAATAAAAATAGTTTCTCAACGATTTTTTTATTATTGCTTACGATTTTTTATTATAATTTTTATATTACAAAAAAATTTTAAAAATTTTCAACGGAATCGTAATAATGAGATTTTTGATGCTGTTTTTTTTTTTTTTTCAAAGATTGGTATAAAAAAACTTGAATAACTTAACCTAAACTCTTCCGATTTAGACTTGTGAGGTACCATTGAAAAGGTATTTTCTCACCCTTTTTAGTTATTTGCTAATAAACTCATTCAAAGGATGAAAGAGAAAGGTAGGATGAACGAACCTCTTTCCGAGTTAAATTAAGATGTGTTGGTATTTGAAAAAAAGAAAATTAGAACATGAATGACTTCTTTTTGCACAGAAATAAAAAGAGTGCGAAAATACCTTTCTACTGGGACCCCACAAGTCTAGATCAGAATAGTTTTGCCCCAGTTATTCAAGTTTTTGGTAAATCAATCTTTGAAAAAGGTAAAAAAAAACAGCATCAAAAATCTCATTATTACGACTCCGTTGAAGAGATTTTTAAATTTTTTTGTGTAGCTTAATCTGTTTTGTCATCCGAGGCGATTTTTTTCATAAAGGTCTTGAAGAAACTATTTTTATTCATAAAAAACTCCATTTTTGAGGTATTTTCAAATTGGTGCAGCTTACGTAAATCTTAATATTTTTCCGAAATATTTTGGTGGACGTCTGTCTTCAAATAAAATAAATTTTGTAATCTCGGCGGAAAAATCTCAACTTTTTTTGGTGATGCAGTCTAATGTACATATAATTACATACATGGCTCTACTTGAAGTTGTGGATCAGTACTTGACATTTGTAAGTATCCACTTAGCGAAGAAATGAACTATACAAATTTTTGAAATTTTTTTAATTTTATTTAAATTTTATCTCTATAAAATAAAAGTGAACATACATATTTACAACGAAGAAACTAAACGTAGTAAGGTACTAAATATATAAATACAAACAAAAGTAAATTACTAAGCCTAAATATTTAAGATTAATAGTTCTTAGTGAAGGCACCAAAAGTGCTCATTGCACCGCAGGTGGCAAGTAGCTATTTGCGGGGGCTCCGTACTCGTTCACTGGAGGCAAATGGCCATCGCCGCCTGGAGATGGGGGCACATACTCGTTCACTTGCGGCAGGTGACCACCCCCGCCGGGTGCCGGAGGTACGTATTGGTTCACTGAACCAGAACTAAAGTGGCCGCCCGTATTATCTGCACCGCCCGCGTTCCCATGGCCTCCGCTCAACTCTCCGATAACATTCAGCGTTTGGAACGTGTCGCCACCGTGGCCATGGCCACCTCCATGGCTGCCACCAGCCCCAAACCCGCCATTGGAATAACCAGATGCGACACCTCCTTGCTCGTGAATGACTTTGATTGTTTTCACTACACCGCCTGCACCATTAGCGCCGTGACTGATTCCGGTACTACCGACTGAACCGCCCTGTTCGTGAATGACTTTGATCGTGGCCACCTCTCCGCCTCCTATTGCATCTCCGGCACCACCGCTGTAACTATAACCGCCGCCAACATTTCCGAATCCTCCAGCTGGACCGACCTGCTCATGAATAACTTTAATAACGCCACCACTGGCACCGCCGCCATAATTGCCACCTCCTACATGGCCATGGTCTACACCGCCCGACCCATGCCCGTAACCTCCAATGGCATTGTCTTGCTCGTGAATAACTTTAATGGTTCTCACCTCACCGCCACCAATGGAACCACCACCGATTTGGCCAATATTTCCACCATGCCCTCCAATTCCACCGCTGCCGTAGCTGTAGCCTCCATTGTTAGCGTAACCACTAGAGAAACCGCTGCTGCTACCTTGTTCGTGTATAACCTTAATCGTATTCACATCGCCGCCTCCAATGGCTCCTCCGCCAATAGCGCCCCCATGTCCGCCGCCGTGACCATATCCACTGCCTCCCTGCTCGTGTATAACTTTGATTGTTTGTACTTCACCACCACCTTGGCCGCCGCCGCCGTGACCACTAAAACCGCCATGATAACCATGGCCGCCGTGGCCACCGTGGCCACCGTGACTGCCATGACCTCCGTGGCTACCGTGTCCTTCATGACTTCCACCTCCTTCCTGAATGATATGAACCGTTTTCACTTCAACGTGGCCCCCCGGACCACCATATCCGCCGTGTCCGCCATGACCATGGCCGCCATGACCACCGTGCCCGCCACTGTATCCACCACCAACGCCTCCTGAACTACCACCTAGAAAGCCCGCCGAACTCAATCCCACCAAAAGGGCCAACACACAAACAAAGACCTGTTGGCGACGAAATTGGTCAATAGCTGTAATATTTTTAATAGTTAAGAGTTTCTGAAATTTACCTTCATTTCGTATTTTCTTTAAGAGCGGGATAGTTGAAAACACAGAGATGAGGATGAGTTGTTTCTCAGAAAACGAAAAGTTGAAGTGAAGCAGACAGAGTCGAGAGCCAAGCATTTATACGAAAACAAAAGACTCAACCTACGAACTTGTGGAGCAGAATCGGAGCCTCTCGTTGTTGTATTAGCAGCATGCACTTTGGACTGTTGTTGTTGTTGTTATGTATTTACAGTATACCCACTGATAAAGAAAACAACGAGACATTTACTAAGCATTACTAAATTACATCGACAGGTTACCAACGGAAGAGCCACAATGAAGGCAAAAATCCATACAAAAACAACAAAAGCAATAAGATTAAGACAACAATCTACTGTATATAGTTACCTAACATCAAATCTGGAAAAATGTGTCCGGAATGTATTCAAAGCTTTTATGTCGTTTGAATACAAGTTTTTGGATTTGTAACAGTGTTACCGCATCACATACAAGCTTAATGAATAATCAAAGCAAAATCGACTATCCGAATAGGCTGATTGTGTTAGCAACACCAATAGGGTTGACTCCCAATTCCACTCCGTGAGGGACGATCGACGTTTTTAACGCTTATCGCCCCTTGAATTTCAATCATTTCTGGCAACATTAAATTGGATATTCCCCGCCTCAGTTGCTGAGGTATTAGTTGCGTTTTTTTACACACTGTTAAGTAAAAGCTAGTAAAAATTTTACTGGTTGACGTTTTCGTAAGTGAAAATGACAGCTGCGCTTTAAAGTTTTACTGGATTTTTGCTGTATAAATTTTTACTAATAACTATTTTCCTGAATAAAAATTGGCAAAATAAACCTATTTACGCATGTAATAATAAGATGGGAAATATGTATGTAATAAGAAATTGGAAAACAACAAGTTACTGGTCGTGCGTTGTCGTAATTTCTTGCATGCTTCTCTCTTGGTTACTGGAAAGTTGCTGGAGTGTTTTTTTTTCAGAGAATATGAAAACAGAGTTCTTCAAACGTAATACCGACCAAGTCATTTTACATAGCAAAGTTCAATGAAGATTTGGATTTGATTTTTGGAAAGATGTGATTAAGTAAAAGTGAATGAACGACCCTAATCTAAACAACAAATACAGATCGTTGACATGCCCACGTTCCATACACACATACATTTGTATGTTTGTACACGTTTGCAACACATATAGTGCTTATCATAACTTTACGAAACTCACATATTAACTAGATTCGACCATTTATCTTAATATTTTTAAATTGAAATTATTTGTTTATAAAAATATAGTACATTGTGTAACAAAAACCACATAAATCCAATTTTCATCTTTGTGGAATATTAAAAAAAAAATCAGAAAACTTTCGTAAAATTTCGAGCTTTTTAATGCGATTTTAAATACTTTTGGAATGCAGTTTCGTGGGTCATTCAATTTTTGTGTACTAAGGCGAAACTTTGGACCAGGTGGGACTTGCCGTTGATTTTGGCGATTTTTTTCTACGATTTTTTATATGGAGAAAATGAGCAACACCTTCAACAAACAAAAAATAGTTCCCAAAAATCAACGGTAAGTCCCAGCTACTTTAAACTTGCACTTTATTGTACAAGAATTGAATGGCCTACAAAACTGCATACCAGAAATATTTAAAATCGAATAAAAAAGCTCGAGATCTTTACGAAAGTTTTCTGATTTTTTTTTATGTTCCACAAAGTTTAAAACTTGGATTTATGTGGTTGTTGTTACACAATGTACTATATTTTTATAAACGCCGTTGAATAAGAAGAAGAAGAAAACTGCATACTCAAAATAGTTGTAAAAGATCGATTTAAAAAGTTTGAAATTTTTACGAAAGTTTTTTGTTTTTATTTAATGTTGCACAATAAACAAAATACATATCGCGCATTTGATGCAGGAGTGTCATAATCCAAAAAATCAGAAGCACGAGAAAAACAGCTTTAAAGTTCTGAGTTCACATACGCTCACATACTTAGTATAAATGAATAAATATTTTGTCCTAGTGAGCTGCAGGTAATCGATGCAGCTATAACATTTTTACACAATTTCATTTCTGAATGAAATTATTATTTTTTAAGTAAATGTCAGAGAATAATATGGATTCCGACATCCAGAACTGTTTGACATTAAAAAAAGATCTGGATGGATCGCCCCATATTTATTGCTTAAAGAAAAATTACTAGAAAGGCAAACCACTTTTCAAGCCATCGAAATAATGAATAATATTTCTTCAGAACTGTATACTAAGCTTACAATTACAAGCTCTTTTAAATAGTGGCCATTGCAAAGTTTCAAATAAAAGGCTGGGGTCGTTGGATCGAATCCCACTGAAAGAAGTCTGATGAGAAAATGTGGTGATTTCTGAAATAGCTATCACTTCTACCATTTTTTTTTTAATTATTGTTGATTTTCCACAATAGTTTTTCATTAAACACGGCCTCAAGCTCAATAAAAACTGTAGAATAAAAGGTTTGATGTTGAAAGAAACTTTAGAAATTGTGAAAGAGCAGTTCCAAATTTTGAACACAGACATGGGTATGCACATATATTCAAAAAACAAAACTTTAAATATTTACTAGCTCAAAACTGGGGGTGAAGATCAATCGAGATTTATTTAAAGTTTGTCCAACTACATCTACGGATGTGGAGATAAGTTTCGAATTATTCGATAAATTTAAATTACCAAAGAAGTAAATTTTTTATTGATAATTTGAAAAAGGTAATTTTAAGCTTACTATGTAGCTCTCAAGTAAAATCTGATGAAATATTGTTCATTATTATTTTTGTTGCTTGAAAAGGTAATGGATGTATAATCACCTAGCAGCCTCATCGAGAAAAACCAGATGCTTACACTTTTGATACATATCTTTGCAAATAGTTCAATATTAGTTGTAAAATCACCTAACTGTGGGCAATTAACTATTTCAGCATGAAAAGTCGTCTGTCAAAGAAACATACTGACTTTGCATTGCTTTAAGCCAAACGCATTTTAAAGTAGTTGAAATCAAATGCAGAGTCGGATAATTGACTGATGCCTGGGACATTGCCATGTTAAAGTCAACAGTTCGTTCCAAGGAAGAAAGTCAGATCTTCAACTAGTTGTGGTGGTGAAAAAACTAGTTGGACATCGATATTTACATAAACTAGTGTCTTTCCATACTGGGTTAATACTTACATACTATGTAGCTTTTGCAGCTTCATCGTCCAGTTGCTGCTTACATTCAAATGCTCGTGCTCTCATTGCTAGTCGCTCCATATACATATGTACGTTTGTATGTACATTAGAGTGGTCCAAAATAATAAAGTCGGAATCGTAAAACTGTGGTTCTCTTCAGGAGACTTCAAATATTAATATCCAATTGTTTATTTAACCATTTTTTATGATTAAAGGTTTTTTATTGCCTCCCCCCCCCCCCATAGCATTTTCTAGGACCTATTAAATATAGTTACCATGAAAAAATGGTTAAAGGAACAATTGGGTATTATTACTGGGAATCTCCTGAAGATAAGCAAAGTTTTCCCATCGAAAAATATTGATTTGCAAGAATTCTACACTATTTTTACGAAAAGTTGTTTTTTCCCCATATAAAATACATTGAAAACTGTGAGCGCTTTGAGCACTCCCTAAATTTTTTTTTTATTTCAAAATAAAAAAATAGGGGTATATTTTTTGTCGGTATAGAATAATCCTAGAAGGTGGCGGCATTAAAAATACGACCTTATTTTTTTTTTTCACATACATTTTTGGACCACTTTAATGTACATATGCACATACATAAGCATTTGCTTAGATTTGGTAATGAATACATATCAATATGAAGAGGTGGTCTGTGTTGAAAGCAATATTAACATATCGTCACCTGAAATGCAACAAGTAATTTTTAAGCAAAAAAAAAAAAGAAAACTAAGAAGGCGTACCTCGGGCTATTATCGTTTCGAAGCATTTTAAGCTGTGTCTCAATTACTTTTTAATGTCAGTTAAGCTTCTCTGGCTTTTAAGGCCTCATATTAAGCTGTTGTGAAATTTGTGGAAATCTCATCTCCTATTAATGTGACTAACTTTTTTAAGTAGGGTGATCAAAACGTGACGTTAATGGGTCGATTACGGATAGCAACGCAATCACGGTTCGGTTGCCCAGCTGGCAACGCAACTGGGAAAAATTTTTGTATTACGAATGGCAACTATCGTCAGTTGTTGTACAGTTATCGATAATCGAAATTTGACAGTTCGAAAACCGGCAAGCTGTGCTAGTAAAATGAAATTATTAAAATAAAGAGTTTTAAATAAAAGTCAGCAATAATGCTAACTTCAGTTCAATTGTTTTTTTAAGAGGGGGAGAAGTGCACGGCCTCAATCAATCAGGCGACATTTAAAGGATAATTCCAACCTTCTAAGAGCTACCGCCCGCACTGTAAGCAAAAGTTAATGCTTGCAAGGTTTATCTTTTATCCGAAACTTCAATACCACTGCTCCTAAAAGCTTGCGCACCTCTTCGATTTTTCTCAGAAGGAAGTCCCTCTCCAACCACTTCAATTTACGGAATTTGGTATGTCGGTAGTTTTAAAAGAGGTGCTTCAGTTGCTAGAGGAAAAAATTTGCAATCAGTTCACTTTTGATTCACCAAAAGCACGTTCATCACGAGAACTGAAATTTCAAATTGTTGCAAAATGTTAATATCGCTTAAACTATTTTACATTCTTTTTAATTTTAGCTGCTAAATAGGCTCCAACACCCTTTATAGCATTCACAAAAATGTAGTTGCCTGAATACACACTTTGTGGCAACTGCAGTTGTCAGTTTAGAATGGTCAGTTGCCATCTGTAATATCGTTTCGGCAACTAGCAACGCAACTGAAGTTCGGTTGCTATCGATAATCAACCGATAAATTACCTACATACATAAGATATGTACATAAGTAAGTACTTGGGCATGCTCGCGCCTACATTAGGGAACGAACATTTATTTTAACGCCGGCTTACATACATAGTTACATAGTTATGTATGTATGTATCTAATGGACGGTACCCACTTACAAGCACACAAAAAAAGTTCGCCGTACACCAGTGAGTGTAAAGTTTTTTGCAATTCAATTACGAAAAAAAAAATAATTTTTTTTTGCCGAACCTAGGGCCCCCATTTATACAGTGACACTTACATCCGACAACAAAAATTTTTTTTTTAATAGTTCTACTTAAATAACAAAATAATTCCTTATGAAAGGTTTAATGATTTTAGTGAGCTTTAATTTAGTTATATTATGGCTATAAGAACCGAGACCACCCGTGGAATTCTGATAATCGCAGTGGACCTAAAAGTAGGAACACAACATGGAACAGTAACAGGTGAAATTTGTAATCAACCAAATCTGGCAGAATCCGGCATCTGGTGGATAAGTACGGGAACTGGGTAGTTGAGACCAATGAACTTTGGGGGAAAAAAAACTGTATCCAATTATAACAAAAAATGTAAAAAGGCTATTTTTTCGAAATTGTCTTGAAACATAGTTAGATTAGAAGGTGGCTGGCGAACTTTTTTTCCGGCACGGTCTAAATAATGTACATATCACACGTTTAGTAATATATATATGTAACTCAAAATTTACGTTTTTGGAGATTTCATAATGCAACTAATAAGCTTATAAAGTAGAAGATGTGCAGACTAACACATAACCGAACTTCCCAAATATGGCAAAGGTATATGTGTCTTTCCATCTGTCTTTTTGTATACCAACTGTATGAATTGATAAAACTTTGATTGCGTTTTCCCACAAAATTGAAATTTTGAAATACTTCGCATTCGCATTCGGGATTTTGTGAATGTGGAATTTTAGACATTCGGGGATGCGAAATAAATAAAAGGTGGGCGTGGTTCTTGTCTGATTAAAAAAAAAATGTTCAAAGGGTTTCTTAGAGAGGCTCTAAGCAATGGTCGTACCGAGTTTGGTGGGAATTGGCGAAGGGCCGATAGAGATACAGCAGTTCATCCTAAGTGGGCGGTGTCAAGCCCATTTTCAAAAAATTTCATAACTGTCTTATTTTATGCCAAAATTCGATTTCGCGTACCAACTTTCAACAATTTGGATCCAGTATTTACGGAAATATCGTAGTTTTTGCATGTTTCGAAAATACCGTTATATGGAAGGTGGGCGTGGTTATTGTTCGATGTTGCCCTTTTTCAATCCGAACCTACCTTGGATAAAGGGAAACTTACCTACCAAGCTTCGTGGACATATCCCAATTTTTTCTCGAGTTATCGTGTACACGGATCAGAATCACGAAAACTCCAAATTTTGACAGATTTTCCCCGAGTACCTGTTAGGTTATTTCATGAATAGAACCCATAAAAAACATTTGAAGCGAATCGGAGATATGGTGATATCATTTTATTTTTTACGAAAGCTGTCCGAATTATAAAAGAATGGCTCATATGTTAGATTACCGGTTATGAAAAATTAGTTGAGGCCTTCAGACTTCAGTTGTTACAGAAACGAAACGTCTGACGTGCTTCATTGGAATTGGCCAAAGAGGCATCGCTTGCGGGTGTTAGTAAGCATTTGGCTTTTATACGAACCTGCAACACTTTTCAGCTCATTTTCTGTTTAATTTTATTAATAAAACCATTTTATAATTATTTACATATGTAGTATTTCTAAAACACATTACGAGTAACTTAAAATATCTCGATAATTTTGTCTGTACACAGGTAACATTAGTTAATATTTAGCAATAGTTTTCTATGTGTTTACCGGGTTTGACTAACTTAATACTAAATAGAGTCACACTGCTTGTACGACTTTTTTTTTATGAATAAGTAAGTCTCTTTAGAAATCTTCACGGGGCGATGATTTAATGTTAAATTTCTTTACAACATTTTTTTTTGTATGGAAATAAATATATGTATACTTTTATGTATAGTACTTTTATATGTATGTACTGTATTGTAGTTTATTCAAAAGCTTGCCGGCTTCAATGAACTCGCAAGTGTTAATTGTCTTAAAATACTATCCGTGGATTCACATATGTATGTAGTCTCATAAAATTACTACACAGAACTCATAGTTGTATTCCTTTTCTATGCAAGACAACAACAAAATGTTAAGCTCTTGTAAAATTTTACGATCGTACGGCTTTATAACGTGTTAAACATCTTGTAAATCTCAAATCTATGTATGTACATACAAACATATATTTTTTAACAACAAGGATAATGGTATTTAAAAGGATGAATTGATTTCTTATGTTTAAAAATATGCACTTAACTCTCATTTACCTAAACTAAACTATCCTGGTTTAAATACTGGTTTGAAACAAACTTCGGATTGCTATCTCAATCTATTGCCAAAGGTCCCTAGCAAAGTATTTTCCAAATCAATTCTTAGGCCTTAGGTCTCCTTAAACTTACTGATACCCATATCTCTATCAGAATACAGACAGTTATTACGCATTTAGGTATGTTGTATAATTAGTAATTTTAATCTAAGGTGATGTGTGGGTTTGTATATGTGAATCCCATGAATGGTTTCTGGTCCATGGACTGCAGAATTTCCTTTTCGATGGGCGTCAGTCGCACGCGTTCTTTGGTGAAAACGCGGTCGAAATATTGAGTATCCAATGGATGTTTCTAAGAAAAAAATTAAATAGCCTTTGGTATCAAATAATCCAATACGTTTTTAGCATTACACAACTCACCACAAGTGGCTTGAAGGGCGGCGGTAACTGCCGCTTCTCCAACAAATCCCAGTCTATGGGTCTGAAGAATATGTGCTCGCTGATGTCGCCAGCAGGGCTGTACTGAGATCCAATGCGCCTGGTGTAATCTTTTTCGAGTAGCTATCAAGACAATGGATCCTTAGCCTATGACAATATATTAAGGTTTAATATGGAGGACTTACCCCTCTCAAAATGCCGGTGGCCTCCGCGGATATGTAAACGGGGAACCATGGAATCTCATTGCAGATCGACCAAAATAGTTCATCTTCATCGCAGCCGCTGAACGGCGATTGACCAATCAACATTTCATAGAGCAAAACACCAAATGACCACCAATCGACATTTTGATTGTATTTCTCGCCCTGGGCGTGGAAGATGAAGGTGAATAAAGAGAAAACAGATTGCTTGTATAATTTGTAAATTTACCTTTATGATTTCAGGCGCCATGTAGTCTGGTGTTCCGCAAAAGCTGTCTGCTGTTTTGTCGAGGTAGATCTGCAATTTGCACATACCGAAATCGGCAATTCGGACGTGCCCTTCGTAATCCAGCAGCACATTGTCCAGCTTAAGATCTCTGCAGAATCGGAGGAGTCGTTTGAAAACATACGCACATACTAAGTTGAACTGACGTTTTACCTGTATATGATGCCTTTCTTGTGTAGGAACTTCAGACCGGATATTATTTCGGCACCGTAGAATCGAGCGCGTTCTTCCGGGAAACGTCCACTCTCCTGTATGTGGAACATTAAATCCCCACCGTTGAGGTATTCCATAACGAAGAACAAATGGCTCTGGAAAAAAAGTTAAACATTTACATTAATATAAGAGGTGTTAACTGGCAGGGCTGAGGTTCAGGAGCAAACCCTAATTGAAATCTATAAGCTTAAATCAGTTAACGAAGCAATGCGATTCTCAATTACTGCCAAGCAGGACAGAAACTCTTGTCGCAATCTGTTAATAAACAAAAAATATGGACCAAGTGAGCCCAAGTGAGCCAGACTGGCCATACAGTAACACGGGTAGCAGAATGCAAGCCGATGATTCTGACATATATATATATAGCCCTGAAAGCATTCAACTCGGAATCCGGCGGTAGTAGAAGAAGAGAGAGGCCACCTCTGCGATGGCAAGACGAAATGGACAAGGACTCGGCTTTCCTAGGAAGTTCCAGGCCAATTGATGTCTGTTGGCACATAAAAGAAACAACTGGCGTGCTTTGTTGAACTCAGCCAAAATCGCTTAGTCGGTTGCAGTGCAAAATACGAATAAGAAGCTATGTCAGCATAGGGAAGCCTACCTAAATATGTTCCACGTATGTATATATGTACATAGTTACAATTTGTATGTATGTAGTGAAAGTGCTTGTGCATTTCTTATCGCAAAAAACGCTTATGGATTTCAAATTGTTTGCGGTGCTATTCAAAGGAATCACAGACGTAAAACCGCCAAACCATTACGCCACCATTGCGTCGGATGTGTGTGCGGCGTGTGAGGTGCGCGACGAGTGGGACGTTTCTCCTCCGGCTATGTACGCAATTAATGCCGACATTCACTTTAATCAAATGCCCTGATCCACATTTGAAAATTGGCCATCGCTCGAGCTGGCTGCGACAACGTGCGCGTTCGAACTTATTCACCGATCGATGGTCAAACGGTGAGCTAAATTTATCATTTCACCTTTCCTCAAATATTTAATTGAGTTATTTGGGGTTGCTCTTTGTGGCATGTGGCTGGGAGGATGCCGGCAGGTGTATATCGCATATTTAGTGGCCATTTCAACGGGCCGGGCCGCCCATGTAAAACACGAAATTACAACTACACCAGGGTTAATGGGTACTTGTGCAATGCAACAACAAGTATACGACCGCACATATGTGTATGTATGTATGTTCAACTACATATATGCAACTAGAATTACTAAGTTTAGGCGACTTTAATTTATGACAAATGGAATATGAAGACTGTCGCCTAAACAGACAGTCTGCTCGAAATAGTTTTTTTTATTAGGTACTTCAATAACAAACATACCCATAGTAGATATGTATGTGTATACAGCTACATACATATGTAAATATTTCAATATTCATTAAAATGCGCAAAAAAAAATTAAGAATCTAATAATAGGCCAGTACTTGGTGCCAATGCGAATCAAAATAAATCGAAAATAATCAACAGCAGCGTTTGTTGTTGTAATTTAAATTGAGACAGGAACATTTTAAATCGTTTGTAATTGGTAGGCAAACTGCAGTGCTTGCATCAACCAACACCACCAACAACAAACAAAGACAACGAATAAATTAGAAATTTTCGAAACGATTTCTGGTCGCAACGAATTGCTTTCTCTAATAAATTAAACGTCCGAAATAAAATGTTTCATTTGGCAGATATGTATGTAGTTGTTTTGATTGTTTCCTATTTACCTCTGTTTGAAATGTGCAAAACAGGTGACACAGATACGGATGTTTGGTGCCCAATGCCAACACTTTGCGTTCAATTAAGGTTGAATCGACATCGTCATCCTCGAGAACGACATCTTTCTTCAGACACTTGACTGCGTAGTAGTAGGTGGTGTCGCGTAGCTCAGCCAGCAGCACCTGGAAATCAAGCGATGCGTTCAAATATAGGAAGTTTTAGTTTAAATTAAAAAAAAAAAAAATTAAAATTTTAAGGGCGAATTAGAATTACCTTGCCAAAACTGCCTTTGCCCAACACCGCAAGGAAATGGAAATCGTCCACTGAGTAGTTTTTGAAACGTGGAATAACGGTAGCTGGCGCCGTAAAGCGCCCCGACTTTTGAAATTGCGAATACGTATACGATGTTTCTGTAAGTAAAATTTTTGTCACAGTCAAAACAATCATAGCAAAAGTAATAAATTTTACAATAAAAACCTAAACCGCAAATTACAAAAATAATTTGGTCTATGCAAATACGCGTATGAGCGGTATTTTTTTATTGAAATAAAGTTTGTAGTGATTACTTTCGGTGGGAGAGCCATTATAACTATCTGGGCAGATATGAATAAATTTTGGTTTTCAGAAAGCAGCTGGTTTGTTTTGAGCTTAAGCAAGTCGCCTGATTAGGCCGTTAAGAGTTTTTTTTTGAATTCTTCCATTTTTTTTTAGAAAAACGAAAATAAATATAAATCAATATAAATACACTACGGTCAAAAGTTGACCGCGAAAAAAGACGAATAAAATAAACTTCAGCGAAGAAAGGCGCCAAAATCTAGTCAACTGCGACGAAAGCCGTTAACCTATTTGACGGCGAAGAAAGACGTGTTATTTTCGCGGTCAACTATGATTGCGGATATAATAATATGTACAATCCCCAAAGAGTTCTTGGGAAATAATGCTGAAGTGGCAGTCCTTGGCTAGGTATAAATCTATGTTGCCGCGCCTTTCTTCGCCGTAAAAACAATAGCGCGCCTTTACTCGTGTCTAGTGACATTATATTCAATACCCTCTATTCGCAATTTTCACGAAAAACTACTTTGTAATGTTAGAACCCATCTGTTACGTACCTGTCATCACTGATGTTCTGACTTTGCAATTTAATAGTAAATTCTTCTGTCAAGCGTTAAGTCTGAGATGGATTTTTTCGATCAGAATCTCATTTTTGTGAAAATTGCAGATAGAGGGAATTATGGAATACAAGCCTTCGATATGCTGAATTTATCTTAAACTTTTCATATTCGAATTAAATTCCATCGAGCTAAGACTTTTTTGATGCCATATTACAACAACAATTTTAAGGTGTGATGTCTTTATTTAATTTTATTTTGTACATTTTATAACCTAAACCTTTTTATTAAAAAAAAATATTTTCTATAGATACTTTTTAGAAATATTTCAGAACCACTTTTAGCAACATTTTGCTGCGCATAAGCAGTAAAAACGAAATCCCGCAGAAAACTAACATGCACGACAAACACAAACCGTTACAAAAAATATTTAAAACGAAAATATGTATAAACCAAAATATCAATGTGGCCTAAAAGACAACATCGGGCATGAAAGGGTTAAGAGAAGCTCTGAAAGAAACCCAGGCCATGCCGCGTTTATTTTACGAAACTAATATAAAAGCCTGATTATGGCAACTTAACTTAATTTAACGTAACGTAGAACTTAGAGAATCAAAATGAAAGAGATTTCGATGTGGCATTAAGTTACGTTAAGTTTCGGCTGTTCAATTATAAGCAACACTCATTTAACAGAGTTGTTAAGAGAGAGCCATAAGTTACGTTAAGTTGCCATAATCCGACCATAAGCGCACAACGGCCACTTGATTTTTCTCAGAAATCAACTAAAAAGTTAGAGAAGATACATACAAGTTTATAAATACATACACATGTATGTATGTATGTACGTAGTAAATATAACAGCATTATTATTATTTTTTAAATCTAGCAGTTACTTATGGTTAGTTTATTTACGTAATATAACATAGACGTAGAACATACCATCATGTTCGTCACTGGCCTCGATCTTGTAAACGGGATTCGAACTGGGCGGTGTACTTGGTGATTCTCGGGCCTCGCGTGCGCCTATACACATTAGAAAAACCAACAGTGTTTCTAAATAAATTTTTCTTTGAACCATTATCCAATAAATGCCAAACATATTACCGATTCATAGCCATGGAAATTAATACTGGCGAACTTTAGTTTAATTGCCGCTCTACTTAATGGCCATGGGCTTTTGCGAAGCTGTCAATGAAAATAAATGTCAAAATTTGTTGTTTATGACTCTGCCAAAAGCTGTCAATTACGTTGGCCAGGTGCGCATATATGAAAACAGCACTGAACTTAAGAGGCCACTGCTTGCAACTAAGGTTTCTATTATTATTCGAAATGTTACTAATGACTTGAGATGTCTCTATTTCTGTAGAAAGCGCTGCCACCAATTTTCGTGGCATTGAAATAGAGTTCAACGAAAATATTCAACTAAATGCCCTTCGATTGAGCGTTAAGAGAAAAAGACTTGAGTGTGATTTGCGTTTAGTAAGCATTCATCTTTTCATCTTTAGTACTCTTTTTCAGTTTCTGATAGTTCTGATGTTATATTAAGTATGCACCTACATAAATATATATACGTATCAAGTGCAGTGCTGATCTTTATTTTCTAGAATCTTTTAACCTTCCAAAAATTGTGTCCACCCTCAAGGAAAATAAAAATAAATGTAGGCCTACGTGGTAAACAAAGGAGTGAAGTGAAAGATTTTCTCAAACTGGCTTAATGTGTGAAATGCGGAGTGGGTTGGCGGGAATATTAAATCCATCGGAAAGTCTACCGCGACGAAAAAAATTAAAGCCATATATCTAAAGTATTTATGAGCCAACTCGTCTGCTTTTTTTTAAATGTATACTGGTTATGTAAGCAGAAATATTTTCGAGAAAAATAGTCTTGCTAGGTGGCGCCAGTGTGGATATATTTTGAAATACCGTATTTATGGTCCGATTTCGTTCGGATTTGGCGTATGTAATTGAAACGTAATAAATCATAGATTTCGAAAAAATTGACCCTGAATTGGCACTGAAGTCAAAACATAAAGTATATTCGACATTAAATTCATGTTTTATTTGCTTGGTCACGCCGTGTCATTTGGTATTGTAAAAGAAAATTGAAACAAGTTGCATTAATTCAAAAAACTCTAAAAACAACTAAAATTATTCCAAATCATGTTAGAACTAGTTTCATGAAAGAAGCTATCCACAATTCGCAGAGTTTTGAGATTTTGTAAGAAACGAAAAAATTAACTTCCATTTTTGTCACATAACGTCACTCTCTTTAATTGCATATATTTACCGCATGGTTCGATTGCTTTCTATTTTTTGTTAAATATGTATATAACTAATAATGTGCTTCCCAAAGGCCCAAAGATGTAAAAGAAAACAAATGTGTTTCTTTGTTTGTATCTCATTGAAACGTACGACTGTCACGTACGTGACTATGGAAATATCCATATTAAAAAAGGAAAGCCAAAGTACTAGGCAGTATTTTTTGTTTAGCATTGAAAATAATACTCTAGGCTTTGGATGATTCTTGCTAAGTTTCTTACATGGGACTAGTGAATGAACTACAGGCAGCAAGGCTGTGATAGAAGCGGCTGCGACTACGTTCCCAAAAACTGGGCTAGAATAGATACGCGCATTACAAAGGGGGAAGATCTCGAATATTTTGAAGACACATTTATAAAGAGCGGTACGAGCCATTTAAGTCCACGGGTTACGGTTTACTATCTGCGTTTCTGCAAAGGGAGATTGTGCAACTTTCCATTCTAAGCTAAGCGATATCTATATATATAAAGGAAAGGAGTTTATCTCAACCAATGCCCAAAATTCAGCCCCCCTATACGAAGGTCAAATCCTCAGAGATCGTTCTTCTTTGTATGATGCTACGGTAGAAAAGGCTTAACATCACGGATGACTGCCTGCGTGTCTGTCTATGTGTCTGAAGTCTTCAACAATTGTTGAGGTGCTTTTTAGTGCTTTGACTCAATCGCCATTAATCCTGTCATTCATCATTAGTTTGAAAATCTTTTGAATTGCCGCAGAGTGATGGTAAAATGGTGTGAGTCAAAAATCACGAGCAAGGCAAACGTAGGCACCCTTCGGAGTGCAGTTCTTTTCCTGATGATGTGGAAACCTCGACGCTTGCCCCAACGATTTCAACCAGTTGTAATGGACAGTAAACTGACGTGGTGATTAAATTAAAAAAAAGAATAACAAAAGTTCCCAATGCTTTCAGGAAAATGCTCAACTCAGCAGGATGGCCAAAATAAATTATCAAATATGGGGAAATATGTACAGTATATTTTGCTTTGCTGCCTTTATGCTTAAGTGAACATTTAAAATACCCAACTTAAGTGAAAATTTAAGATATCCAGCAAACATTGAGGTTAGTTCTCGATTAGAGAATGATTGGAGAACTAGCCACATTCTCCATTCTCAAACGTTAGAGAACGAGTCGAAAAACTATCGATAATCATAGCGATCTCTACAAAAATGGGACATAGTTCTCGACTCGAGAAAATATTAATTCTCTTATCGAATTCTAATGTTGATCTCTAATGGGATTCGAATGTGAATTTCAAACTTCTGTTTTGCTTTACTAAATAAAACGCTTTGTTTGTAAAATTTGTATTAAATATATTTGCAATAAATTAGTAACGAATTATTTGAACTTGAAATAATCTATGATTCATTCATTTGGTATAATGCGTTGTATTTGAATTTTCGTAGTTTCTCTAAATTGTTCTCGATTCGAATTCTAATGTAGTTCCCTAACTTCGTCATCGACTCGAGAACGATTAGAGAATTCCCTAATTATCTAATGTCGAAATCCAAATTTCTCTAACGTTAGAGACTGTATTTGCTGGGTACCTACCTACCCACTAAGCTCGCTTAAGTGTTGAGGTTGTTTTTAAATTTTATTATGTCCTGAGTTAGTAATCTATCGACTTTTGCACAACTCTGATATGTATCCATATTCAAACACTGTCAGGCAGTGTTGCCAGAAAATCTTTAGCTTTGAGCCAAATCGGTCGAAAAACCGAACTAAAAAGAGCCAAATAATAAATAATACTAATAGTAGCTAAAATGAAGAGCTAATTTTTTTTTACAGTCAAGCATTTATTGACGTAAAGTTGCTTTTACATTTTCCCCAATTTTAGTTACAAAAAAAATTTTATAAATTTAATTAAAATTAGTAAGGAAAAACAAAATCCGCGCGTTCAAAAAAAAGGACTTTCTTCTAATTAATTTTTGTGGAGTCTGTATTTTCCCGTGAATACAAATAGGTATATGTTTTTTCACTGCATTTCGAAATTTTTAATTTTATCAACGCTTAACTTTTGGTTTTCCTTTCTACTATTTCCGCCTGAGAGAGAATACACCGTCTGAGCTTATCGGAAGCTCGAATTACTGCCCAGTATAGTTTGTGTGCTCCCGCGCATGTGGTAGAAACTAATCAACTTACTTGCCCCTTTTTCCATTTGCTTACGCGCCATTAGCATTAGGAATGGAACTTTTCTAAGTATTAGCGAATATAATAACATGACGGTATCGAAAATAGCCTGAGATCACCAGAGCCAACTGAATTTTAGTCAACAACGAAATTACAGATTTTTTAATTTAAGTTATTACCAAATATGTACAACTAAAACTTTCTGGAGCTAAAAAGTGCTAGATAACTCTGAAAAAAGCTAAAAAAAGAGCTAAATAGAAAAATAAAGATCTTAATCTAGCTCCAAAAGTACCAAAATGGCAACACTGCTGTCAAGGCTAGAGTGTAAACTACAGTACGTGGCTAAGTGCAATGTGAAAAAAGGAGGTTATGTCTAGTGTATAAAATCAAAGATACACTAGAACGCATTCTGTACCATCACCTTGATTTTGTTAGATCTGAAATATTTTGGCTCTATACTACTGGCAACACTAGGAGCAAGTAGTTCTTCCATATGAGTTCTTATCAATCTGCTAAGCTATAATAACTTTACCTATGCATATGTTTTCAATAAGGTTATGCTAGATCTCATAAAATGAATCCACAATTAAATATTTGTATGAATCATACATTAGGAGAATGAAGACATGCATGTAAATATGTATATATGCATGTCAGGATGTGTGCATGCAGTTATGCACATACATACATATCTACATATTTATGCACGAGAGTAGTGCATGTAATACACTGTTGCAGAACGTGTGCCAAGAATCTTAACGCAATCGGGAAGAGACCAGCTAAAAATAGCAACACGGGGCCGGTGCCATAAAATGCCGATACATAACTATATATAATAAATTTTTTACGTATTTAGGACACTGCAATTAACCAGCATCATACACATGCATAAACATGTATGTATGTACGTACATTTGCATAAAAAGGAACAGTCCAGCGCCTTCGTCTTGGCCTGCAGGCTGTATCGGAGATACAGCCGCTAAATTTAAACGTAGAATACGTGGTATGGTTAAGAGCATATCCAAGTAAAAAAACAAAAGCACACACTAAGCAAAAAATATCGATAACAAAAGCGATAATAATATCGGTAGCAAAATCGATAAAAACATCGATAAAGAAATCGATGAAAATATTGATATCAAAATCGAAAAAATATCGAAAGCAAAATCGATAGCAAAATCGATAACAATACTGATTACAAAATCGATTACAAAATCTATCAAAATATCGATTACAAAATCGATAACAAAGTCGATAACAAAATCGATTATAAAGTCGATAACAAAATCCATAACAAAATCCATAAAAATATCGATACCAATATCGATAGCAACATCAATAAAAATATCGAATATAAAACCTATAAAAAAATCTATAACAATATCGATAGCAAAATCGATAAAAATATCGGTAACAAAACCGATAAAAGTATCGATGACAAAATCGATAGCAAAATCGATTACACAATCGATAACAAAATCGATAAAAAATATCGATAACAAAATCGATAAAAGTATCGATCATTATATCGGTAAGTTCCGAAAATATCGATAGCAAAACCAATAACAATATCGATAACAAATTCGATGAAAATATCGATAACGAAAGCAATAATAATATCGATAGCTAAATCGTAAACAAAATCAATAAAAATATCGATGACAAAACCGGTAAAAATATCGATTACAAAATCGATTAAAATACCGACAACAAAATCTATAAAAATATCGGTAATAAAATCGATAACAAAATCGATAAAAATATCGATAACAAAATCGATAAATAATCTATCATAAAATCGATTACAGTGTCGATAACAAAATCGACAACAAAGTCAACAAAATATCTATAACAAAATCGAGAAAAAATATCGATAACAAAATCGAAAAAATACCGATCATTATATCGATAAGTTCCGAAAATATCGATAGCAAAATCAATAACATTATCGATAAAAATTTCGATAGCAAAATCGATAAAAACATCGGTAATAAAACCGACAAAGTATCGATTATTATACCGATAAACCCCGAAATATGTACTTACGGACACATACATACTTTTTGTCTCCTTCCCACGCTTCCAATGCGTGCACGTGTTTGCAAAATGATGACGAGGTGATTTTGTATGGAAAATCATTTATGCCCATATATTTGAATAAAATAAACATATATAGAAGATATCAACCAATACTTCCCATATACCAAACGAAAGGAAAACTCTTGAATTTTTGATTAAAGAAAACAAAAACAAAATCATTCGAGCGGTTTTCGAGCATTTTGGTAATGAAAAAAATTTGCAAATTTTTTCAACAATTTTTTGCCTTAAAATGCTCAATATTTGTTAAATTTATATAAAATTTGTACCCGATAATATTTCTACTGCTCCAAAGAACCTATATCCCGAAAATGAAAGTTATATATGCCAACAATAAGTTGCTAGAGCACTTTAAAGGCTCAAAATTGACCCCAAAATAAGGCAATGTTTACCGTTGTTTTTACGACAGAAACCGAATTGGTTATTTACAAAAATGAATCTGTCGACAGGTTTGGAATTTTATCTTTGAAACGCCACACTTTTCTTTGAAATCGCTTTATTAGTTCTCGTGCAATAAGCGTTTTTGTGAAGCTCTAAAAATTACAACTACAACATTTGAACATAGCCCCCATACCTTAAGGTAAGACGTATTCTACGTCAAAAGAAACTTCTTAGAACGAAACTTTCTTCTTTCAATTTCTGGACAATACAATCACCTGAGCTGCATGGCCGCAAGCCAATAAATCGAACACAATGGGTCATCATCATTGAGCCAAAATAAGTTTTTTGTTTAAACGTATGCGAATATACCATATGTTTGCATATATATGTACATACATTAGGGTTGCCAACCGCACTATAATATATAGTATTGTACTATTTTTGTCGGTCCGCGTACTATATACTATTGGAAAAATATGGTATGCAAAAATACTATAATTATTCAGTTATAAATATACTATAAATAAATATATTTCAGTAATTTTTAAGAACAAAATGTATACTAAAATGGATGAAACCAAAAACAAAACCCAATCTTTGATTCATATTAATTTAATTATTTATTGCGATAAAGCATATGATACTTAAATAGTTAACAAGGAATTGTTAAATACTGCCAAAAGTGCAAAGAAATATTTTAAGGAGAAACATTTATAATAAAAAACGTTTTTACTTTTTTAAATAAAATACTATATGTCGTACAAAACCGCGTATGTGAGGTTGCACACATTATTTTCTAGAGAGTAAATACACTCATATTTCAAAATGGTTCTCTTTTTTAAAAAGCAATCGCATTTCTAGCTAGTGTATTTCAGTACGAATGGATAAGAATTGAGCCAAGAGCTTTTGTGAGCAAATCCAATTTTTGGCAAAAAATGTCACTTACGCGGTTTTGCAGAACGAAGATACGCGTACCATGTATAAGTGTAGTAAATATTTTTGATTTTTTTTTGAAAAAGTACTATAAATATCTTAAAAAATGATGGCAACCCTAACATACATACATATGTATCTATGTACTTGTATTTGTGTTTGTTGAATGGCGCAGTGGAAAGTAATTACTTTCAGAGGCTCGCTGGGATTTCGACCATTTCGCAAAACACGAGGAAATGCGGATTAAAGAAAAAAGAACTAGAACGTTGAAAATAGCAACAAAAATAAATAATTTCACCATTTAAAAAAGTGAGGAATTTTCATTTGTTTTCTTTCTGTGCTATAAGTGTTTTAAAAAACATTACAGAAGAGCTGTGTATATGTACATACATACGTATGTACATAAGCTCATATGTATACATAAGGGCTGTTTCTAGATTTGAGGATATTCGGATATTCTGACCTAAAAATTATAAAATGAAATAACTATTGTTTATGTTTTAATGGAGTGTTATATTTATTAGTTATTTTGAAACTCGATAGATTCAGTAATTGTGAGAATAATAAGCGGATATACGGACAACATAGAAGAACACATATTAACCGGATATCTGTACTACTCGGATTTAGTCCACATGCAGGAATATCCTAATAAACGGGCAATTCCAGTACTAGTATACATACACACCGGTACATATATGTGTTTGGCAAGGGAACAATGGGATCTATTGATTAGTTTTGAAGGAAGGAAGTCTTGTTTATACAAATGCATTTATGTATGGACATAGATACTATGCATTTATGCCTAATCATATAAATCATAAGAAAACGGGAGTCACTTATAAAAAAAATAAGACGTGGCTTAGCTTTTATACCGTCCTTTGGTTGCCAAAACACTTAAGTGCGCTTGGAACGCTGGTGTCGGGAAAATCGAGGAAAAGGAGCTCATAACGGACGTTACAACCACAGAAATGCTTCAAAGTACCAAATTTACTTAAAATTATTTAATTTAAAAATATGTAAACAAAACTCTGCGAATCCGGTGAGGTCTTACTTTCTTAAATATCCTTTAAATAAAGTCAAATTGGTTGGTTTAATTTTGAATTAAAATGTGATAACGGATGTGACATATCGGACGTGACAGATTTCTCCCTTAATTTTTATTTATTTAATTTTTTCAGCTTTTCTCACAGCCGTTTCGCGTATACATAACCTCTTTTCGGTGTACATTTTCATGGAAACACCGATATGTGTACAGGGAGCGGAGTTGTATTCTGGCATCCGCGTTCATAATCTCCTAATTAACTGATATTATTTACCCGTCGAATGATCCATATATATTTGTGATAAACCGTGGCGTACTTTATATATATAAGTAGATACTTTTTGGCATTTATTGGATACTAAGTGATCATATGCATGCGATTGATTACCTCGCTTGACGCAAGCTAAAGCTTCGACGATCAGCTTTTGGTTGACGCCGCATAAATTGGCCATTAAATGCTCGCATTTCTTGTGGCAGTTTACGTCGCACTCTGCAGCCGTTTATCGATGTTTGGTTGTAGATTAAATGCATATATATATTATGTATATGTATGTATGTATGTACGTGGGAACATCGATCGATGTTGTTGATGTTTAAAAAATAAACAAATAAAATTTGTAATTATATCTTAATTGATATGATGTTTTATGTGTACATATGTATGTATGCATATATGTATGTAAAATGATTGTATATGTATGTATGTGTATGAACGATAATGAAATGGGAATGGCGAAACTTTGGCACACGAAAGAGTTTAGACATTTGGATTTTTATTATAGTTTAGGGGATCATCCTTAAAGTGAAAGGTACAATATCGCATACGCAGTGTCTATAGGCGGAGCAACAAACCTAAACACCCGCACCCAAAATGTACTGGAGATATCATGATTTGTCGCGGATTTCAAAGTTTGAGTATGTACACTAGGCATCAAATGAAAGTATACATTTCACAGTACTTATTTCAATGTAGATTTATCATACTTATGTACATATATAGGTGTCTGAAGAATAACAAAAACATAAAGGTTTATTTTTGCCCAGAAATCGGGAGAAAAATATTAGTTTTTCAATTCCCTTGATGAAATTTCAGGGCTCTATGCAACTTTTCTTCTTATAAGGAGCTCAACGCGTATCGAAATTTTGGGTTTGGACCTCCTCCGTACTAAGTTTTGCATCTCTTTTCAGCTCAAATCAGTAAATTTTGAGCTACAAAATACCAAAAGGCAGCTGCGCAAACTTGGAGTCATTTTTCTTAGAGATTCCATCGGAACTGTTAGAAACTTGCTGCGATGTTTGGCGCAAAGTCTTCGAGTAGTATTTTAAAGCAAAGTTGGAAATACCAATTACTAAATTTAGTTATAAAGCAGAGTTATTTGTTTGTTTTTCGAGTTTATACTTTCATTTGACGCCTTTGGTTTTAGACTCCCTATTTTTGAATTAAAAACACAAATACTTTTGGTCCGATTTCTGAGAAATATAATACCGCATGAACTAATTCTTATTTGTTTTAATAAATCTGCACAGAAATAATAACTGTGAAATTTATAGTTTCGTACAGGGACCTTAACAGTTAACACTTTTATTAAAAAAATTGCTATTTAACAATTATTTTTTGACTTTTATTTAAATACTTCTTAAATAACCGTTATTTCTGATTTATAAAAACCAAAATAACAATTATTTTTGATTTTTATCTAAATAATTGCAAATAACAGTTGATTGGTTTTTGATTTTTAAAATCAGTCACTGAACTTTATTTTTTAAATCATACTTATAAAAGTCATTTGTATAAGTCGTAGTTTCCCCAACACCTTCTTAACTACAAAATATATTATTGACGTTTATATGATTGATTTAAAAAATAAAAGTCGGTGACATCAATATAAGATGACTTTTAAAGTAAAAGTCACTGACTGATTTTTATTGATAACTTTTATAGATAAAAGTCTCCAATAACTGTTATCTAGGAAAATTAATATAAAAATCAAAAATAATTGTTATTATTTGGCATAAAAATTGCAAATAAAAATTTATTTTCAAATCTGTGTCTCGGTGAAAAGAGAAATCGATTGGCATGTATAACTTAGTTGTAGATCATTTCCCTTATAAAGAATTTTTCACTGACAGTTTTCATCAATAACTGTTATTGTTCGGCCCCTGGTTTCGTATGAATGATGTGTAGTGTATACATATACAAGTATTAAACGATTTTTGAAGCACAAGCTTCGTGTGTACAAAAAAATACCAATGACAATGAGTAATTCTTTTTAAAAAATCCCTAAGCACTTTCCCATCAACAAGTTCACAATAGAGCAGTTTTTTCACTTAACAACACATATTTTTTAACGGACCTCTCTGAACTCGGATGAATAGCCGAATTTGTGTTTTTGCTTTGCAAGTATTTCGTTACTTTACTGAGTGTTATTTTATAGCTCGTTTGCAGAAGAATGCACCTATAATAAGTAGTTACTCAGATGGAGCAAACCTTGATTTAATAAATTTAACCTCATCGTTTGGGAGAAATTTTACCCATTCTTAATTTTAGTATGCGGGAACTTGAATAATTTTTTCCCAAATATGTAAATAGAAATATGTCCAAATCGATATTTCTTTAAAAATGCCCCCAAAAAATTTTGATTTAAGTTATGTAATAGCTTTAATTAAAAAAACTTAATTTACTAGTAAATTTTACATATTCACACATAGCTAAATTTCATAAAAATTTTATTTCAAATCGAAAATATCTATAAATGCATTTTCTGTTCCTTCACATCGGTATCATATTACTTGTTTCTTCGCATGGGGATTGGTTGCCTATAAAGCACATACATTCGCATTGCTTTATGTAAATGTAAAGCGTCAAATACTTTATGCTACAAACGCAGTTATGGATGAACCAAAAGTTAAATCAAAGCTTTTCCTCCTTAAATTGTATATTAATTATGCCGAAAAGCAAGGATATAACCACAGAGATCCATTGTGATTCTGACGAAAAATAACCAGACCGCTATTTTTACATTTTGACCACAAAAGCCACTGAATAAAATTTTAGCGAAATCAAGCTTGGAATTACCCCCTGTCGAAACTAATATTATTTAAAAGTTTGAATTAATAAAGTCGAGATAGCTTGAATTTGAATTAATAAAGTCGAGATAGCTTGAATTATGCAAAATCAAATTACTTATTATGACATTTGAAACATTTTGTTATGTTCATAACAAATTCATAAAATCTGAAAAAGCGTTTGTAAGACTTATTTAAAATTTTTATCAATTTATCAATTTATTAATAAATTCTAACCTACGTACATATCTAGCTCTTGAATTTGTTGAAATTATCAATGAGTCTTTGAAAAAGTACTGTAACAAAATATGTTGATAATTATTTTTTGTTTTAAAGCACGTTCGGATTAATAAAAATTACATATTTAAGCTACGCTATTCCGATTGTGGCCACTGGTATCCACCTCTGTTTACAAAAAAAAATATATAACGAACGAAATATATTATAAATTCTGTAGCCAAAGATATCTACATTAATAAAAATCGGCAGATAATTTGCGCTTTTTGTAATTGATTGTTAAATTTTTAAGAAATTTGCGCGTGCGTCTATTAACATGTATGACACACGGCGTATGAGTAACCTTCCGTTCTGGTCATATTTCTACAAATAAGTAGGACTAGGAATCTCATGCAAATGCATGAATGATGAAATTTCCTTTAAAATGTTATTCAATCGTAAGTGCGTATTTTTGCATAGTTTGCAGTAAGTGCATGGTTTTACATAATTCGCAAGAAATGCCTGTTTTTATTTATTTACTGCGCATATTTTCGTATAATTTAAAATAAATGCATGTTGTTTTTGCATATCTTTGCTTTGTTTGATTTACAACCATTTAAATTTAGTGCACCATTTCTTGCCAACAAAATTACCTTTAATTTGATGAAGATTGCGCAGGAATTAATAAAACTTTGAAATTGTTGGACTGCCTAGAGCTTTAAAATGAAGATATAAATTAGCTTTGCCTCTTTTGACAAAAATAATCTAATTTCCGATGACTAAAATTGCCCTGGAATTAATAAGCCTTTTTTTTTAAATTTTTGTTTAAATTATTTATAAAAAAAATTACTAATTGCCGATGACTAATGATAATGAAGGTTTCTTTTTTCAACTGGTTGGTTAGTTAAATTATTTACAAAAAAATATAAAATACAAATAAAAAAAATAAAAATCTAATTGCCGATGACTAATATTACGCTGGAAATAATGAAAGTTTTTTGGGTTTTTTTAACTGGTTGAGTTTCTTACCTTAATTAAATTGTTAAAAAAAAAATAAATAGTAACAATTTAAAAAAATATACATACAAACAAAAATAAATAAAAAAGAGGGTGTTTTATTCCCGTAACCTCTTCCTGGTAGGCCCGGATACTGCGAGGGTGGTAATTTGCAGGCTAATAAAAGTTTAAATTTCAATGAATTTTGGTTTTTTTTACATAAAAGACACCACTTAAAATTATTCAACAACTTCGTTGAACTTTTAATATGTTTAAAGCCGTTAAAACATCAAAACAAAAACAAAAAACAAAATACGTGTCTTCTCGAATATTTTATAATTTTTGGACACCGACAGACCATGGATTTGTATACCTAGCTCTACCATAAAAAATATTTTTTTCTGATTATTTGGCAACAATTATGGCCACTGTTTCAGTCTTCTGGTCAACTGTTTATTGTAGCAAATGAGCGATATTAATAATTACTTACATATGTACATATGTATGTATGTATATCCGTATATACTCCGAAATCTATCTGGAATTCACTAAGTGGTTACAAACGATCGACATGTCAACAAGTTTCCTTGTTCTTTAGTATTGAGTTTATAAATTACCAATAATCATAAATTAAATGCAATAAAGAAATTATCTTCATATTAAATGGGTTCACTCGCCGCTAACAGATATCTATTTTCGGTCTCAATGATGCTCTGACTTCAGCCTAATATACACAGGTATGTACTCCCACATCTCAGATTTTCAATTCTTTTCAAGCACTGAAGCACAAATTAATTTATTTATCGATATTTTCACACACGCATTTGTACATACATATGTATAAGTATACGTACATATGTACATATATGTGAAAGTGTGTATGCATATAATTAGCCACCGTCATTAAAAAGGATAGAAAAATTCAGCTATAAGCATATTTTTTAATATAGAGAATTTTTTTTTTGGTTTATGTGAAGGGATTTGAAATTTGAAAGATGCCTTTGTGATATAGTCATTTTAAGGACATAACGAAATAATGGCCTAGCACCTGTATTCATGCTTATCACAATTTTTAAATTTTACCATTTTTTTTTGTCACAAACTAGCCATATTTTATTATTAATCCCCTGTTCCTGCCTATATGCACGAAGGGCGCAGTTCTCATGACATACGAACTTTATTTCTTTTAAATTGTGTGCCAAGTCACGAAAG